TGGGTTTTCACCCCGTGGCCTGGGCTCTCACCCCGTGGTGTGGGTTTTCATCCCGTGGTCTGGGCTCTCACCCCATGGTCTGGGCTCTCACCCTGTGGCCTGGGCTCTCACCCTGAGGTGTGGGTTTTCACCCCATGGCCTGGGCTCTCACCCCGTGGCCTGGGCTCTCACCCCGTGGTCTGGGTTTTCACCCCGTGGTCTGGGCTCTCACCCCGTGGTGTGGGTTTTCACTCTGTGGCCTGGGCGCTCACCCCGTGGCCTGGGCTCCTGCCAGCCGACTGCATCACTCTCTTCGCGCCTGGCCTGGGAAGTGGGAAGGGCAAGGCAGTGGCAGGCGGCAGTCCTGGGGCTCTGCGTCCAGGCCCCTGGGGTCAACTGGCCCCCCATATGTGCAGGTGAGACAACCCAGGGTGTACAGGGGGGCTGCTTCATGGGGCCATGGAAAGTGATACCTGAGGTTGAGTGGTGCAGGGGCAGGGAGGGGAGATAGCCCCAGGGGAGGGACCTCGCCAGCCTTGAACCCCAAACCACGCCCTGCAAGACCCAGAGGAGGGACATTTAGAGGCTGAATTCTGGCAAGTCAGAGGCTCCTGGGAAACAGTGTGACTTTCCACAGCCGAGCCCGGCGGCGGCCGCAAGCTCAAGGGGCTCAGCCTGCCCCGCGATTTCCTGCTGGAGGGGCTGTCACTGGGGCTGTCGGCTCAGAACACCCTGGACGGGGCCTCAAACGACAGAAATGTATTCCTCACAGTGCCGGAGGGCAGAAGTCCAAGATTAAGGTGCCAGAGAACACAGTTTCTGGTGAGGGTCCTCCTGCCCGCTTGCAGAGGGCAGCCCCGGCTCTGTCCTTACCCGGCAGGGGGGCTCTCCGTGCCTTCCTCTCCGCACAAGGACCGCAGCCCTGTTCAGTGAGGGCCACACCCCTTGACCTCACTTAACCTCGATTGCTGCCTAAGGGTCTCATGTCATGAAACAGTCACGGTGGAGCTGGCGCCTCATTGTGGGAATTTTGGGAGGACAGAGTCAGCCAAGCACAAAAGTCAGTGCTGGTCAGAGGGTGACAGCAGACATGGGCTGCCATCGTCAATGGCTTCCTGCAGAAAAGTCACTGGATGTCCAAAGACACAGAAAAATATGACCTATAGTTTAAAAAAAAAGTGACTAAAAGCTGACACTGAGAAGACCCAAAGTTGTACTCAGAAGATAAAGGTCTACAGCAGCCATTATAAGTAGTTAAAAGAAAACCAGGATACACTCGAATTACTGACACGATAGCATTAAAGGGCTGAGTAATTGATGAAGAAAGAATTAAGGAGTGAACACAGGAGATCAGATCGGGAAATCAACAGAGACACGGAAAGTATAAAAAAGAAAAAAATTATGGAACTGAAAAGTCCAATAAATGAAACATTTACTGGAAACACTAATAGCAAATTGGCTACGGCAAAAATAACCTCCATGAACTTGGGGACAAATCAGTGTAAATTATCCAATCTGAGGAGCAGAGAAGATGCGTCACAGCACCTCAGAGGTCTGTGGGGCAAGATCAGACGTGTAGACTAGCCTGAGAAAGAGAAGAGAGTGAGGCTAGATGAAGAAATAGTGGCCAAAATAACCCCGACTTGATGGAAACATCAACTTAGACGGCCCAGAGGCTCAGAGAAACCCAGAAAGAGCCTCACGGTAAACACACCCGGGGACACGATAGTCAACGCACTGCCAACCACTGATGTGGATAGAAATGTGAAAGGAGCTGAGTGGTGGCGTGTGCCTGCAGTCCCAGCTACTCGGGGGGCTCGGGTGGGAGGATGCCTGAGCACAGGAGTTCTGGGCTGTACTGCGCTATGCCGATCGGGTGTCCGCACTAAGTTTGGCATCAATATGGTGACCTCCTGGGAGCGGGGGACCACCAGGTTGCCTAAGGAGGGGTGAACCAGCCCAGGTCAGAATTGGAGCAGGTCAAAACTCCCGTGCTGCCCACTAGTGGGATCGCACCTGTGAATAGCCACTGCACTCCAGCAATGTAGCAAGACCCCCTCTCTAAAAAAGAAAAGAAAAATAAATTTAAAAGACAGCACAGCCAGACCTGGTGGCTCGTGCCTGTAATCCTGTAACCCCAGTACTTTGGGAGGCTGAGGCGGGAGCTTCACTTGAGGTCAGGAATTCAAGACCGGCCTGGGCAACATAGTGAGACTTCATCTCTCTTTAAAAAAAAAAAAAAAAAATGCCGGGCACAGTGGCTCACGCCTGTAATCCCAGCACTTTAGGAGGCCGAGGCAGGCAGATCACGAGGTCAAGAGATCGAGACCATCCTGGCCAACATGGTGAAACCCCATCTCTACTAAAAATACAAAAAAATTAGCTGGACGTGGTGGCGCGTGCCTGTAGTCCCAGCTACTCGGGAGGCTGAGACAGGAGAATTGTTTGAACCCGGGAGGCGGAGGTTGCAGTGAGCCAAGGTCGCGCCACTGCTCTCCAGCCTGGCACCTGGTGACAGAATGAGACGGACAGGGCATGGTCTGGCTTGGCTCTGTGTCCCCACCCAAATCTCATGTGGCATTCTTGTAATGCCTGGTGTTGGAGGTGGGGCTTGAAGGGAGGTGACTGGCTTATGGGGGCGGATTTCTCCTTGCTGTTCTTGGGATATGAGTGAGTTCTCAGGAGATCTGGTTGTTGAAAAGTGTCCAGTGCTTCCCTTTTCATTCTCTCTCCTGCTGGCCATGTCAAGACATACCTGCTTCCCCTGCACCTTCACCTATGACTGAAAGTTTCCTGAGGCCTCCACAGCCATGCTTCCTGTAGAACCATGAGCCAATTAAACCTCTTTGCTTCATAAATTACCCAGTCTCAGGTAGTTATTTTTAGCAATGTGAGAAGGACTAATACAGGGCACAAAAGGGGGACACAATGGCTGACTTCTCATGGTGAGTGGAAACCAGGGGATGTTGACAGGGCATCTTTACATTGCTGAAAAAAAATCAACAGAGCTCCGTATCTCGGGAAAATAGCTTTCAAAACTGAGGGTGAAATAAAGACACTTTCAGACAAATGGAAGTGGAGGGAATTCATCTCCAGCACAGCTTCAGTACGATAAATGAACACCAAGGATGTTCCTCGGGCAGAGGGAAATGAGTCTGGATGGCCGCTCAGGTCTGCAGGAGGGAGATCTGTGTGACATGCGGGCACCGAGTGAGCCCATTGGAACCTGCGTTCCTTGTCCTCCGTTTAGTTACTTAATTATGTCAGCAAGGACTCAGCAGTTCCTGTTTCCTTCCATGGGTTACAGTAGATGACAATCATTTCTACACAATGGGAGTGCCTTCAAAGTGGCTTCAGAGAATTGCTGGCACATTCCCCGATTCCTTGAGCACATTTTTGCTCTTTGGCACAAAAAAAATTCCAAGTTCCTCTTATGTTTTCTGCACACAGGCTTTGAATAATTCACCAAATAGTCCTGGTTTCTTTTCATACAGAATAGTGTTGAGAAACCAAGCTCTGAGTGTTAAGTGTGCTTGCTTTTACTTTTACTGGGTCCGATTGTATCTAAATCTTCTCAGCAGACAGAGCCTGGACTTCCCTTCCTCCCCTCCCTCCCTCTTCTTCCTCTCTGCTGCCTCCCTCTCTCCTTCTTCCCTTCTCCTCCTCTTTATCCCTCCCTCTCTCCCTCCTTCTCCCTCCTTCCCTCCTTCCTCCCATTCTCCTTTCCTCCCTCCCTCTCCCCATTCTGTCTACCAAAATCAGAGTTGACATGGATACTTACAATTCCAATCCAACACCACAGGGTTCATTTTCATTCTCTCCTTGCCACATGTCTATATGATGTATGTATGTATGTATGTATTTGAGAC